AAAAAAAAAAAGACAACTCTATGTTAAGCTAGCAGTCAAGGAGGGATCATGAAGTCCAGGGCTACAGCGGGAGGGAAGGCAGGAGGAGGGTCACAGCTTAATGCCTTACAAAGGAGAACCTGGACTCTGTTTTAAAACATCCCTCTCCCACACACAGTGACTGACAAAGACAAAAAATATATGGACTCTATGTATACATGGAGACATATGTGCATTTCTATCAGTCACCCAGATGTCAAAAAATGTTCAGACTGTGATGCAAACAAATGTAGGAAAATTAGGAGTCATTCTGAAAACCTCACTGCAGACCCACTTTGCTGGGCTCTGATTGCAGAGCCCCCCCCCCAACCCCCCACCCCCGCAGCCAGGGGCTTTATTTGCTGAATCACATTTTGTGGCAATACCTGGGTAATAATAAGGGACTGGCTGGAGATGGGGTTTCAGCTACTGCCATGAATTTCCCGGCTTTGATCAGTTTTTGTCAGTACTTTTGTGGTAATGAAAACGTGTGAACATATCCACAAATTTGCTGGGTTTCTTTTTTTTTTTTCTTTTGCATTAACTAAAAAGAATAGAAAAGAGAAAGATTGCAATTAAATATACATCTTCAAGCTGATGTCACTAACAATAACAGCACTCTATATGCTCCTTGTGAAGTACAAGATTGGAATGAATTTAAAACAGACTTATTGGTGCAAAATGCACCTGATTTTGTAGCGGCCTACTGTATAATATTATCCTAATTGACTTTATTAGCTCCAGTGAAATGTTACTGTCCCTCCAAGGAACCTGCTTCCAAGACAAGCGACATGCTGTAGCACTGATGAACAGCAGCTGATTTGAAGAAATTAAGTAGCAGACTATTAAGCCAAAGGAATAAAAACATTTTCAAAATACGGTTATTGATGTGTAGTTTAATTCCATTCCTCCACCTGTTCTTTTCAACTAGCAAAGACAAAAAGATGTGATGTCAGAAGAAACTTTAACAGGAAGGTCATTCTAAAAACTAGCCAGAGGGATGCTTTTACAAATTGGTTTTGAACATTAACCACAAACTTAAATACAGTGAGCAACGTGGCCCCGCAGCAGGGGGCAGAAAACATTTTAATGGTGAAGTTTGTAAAGTCCACTAAAATTCACACAGGGGACATTCAATAACTGATACGGGCATTATACAAAGAAGGACAATTGTAAGAGTGATGTACAAATAAGTATTACAGAGTATGCATGTACCAGGCACAAGGACCCAAATGTGGGTGGTTATCTAAATATCATACATGACATGTAAGAAGGAATACCATAATGTATCTTTCCAAAAAGGAAAGAGTTAAATAGATGTGTGCCTTCACAGTAATAGAGAACTTGGGGGTCAGTTGTTGAGAATGGATTTCAGAAATGCCAAAATAAAATTTGTTTTGTTAACTAAAGCAGAACTCTTGGTAGACACACATTAGAAAAATTAATTACTCTATGTCTTTTAGAGAAACTATGGAGAGGGAGAGGGTTTGTATTTATGACCTGAATTCTAAGAGGAGGGGAGAGAAAAAAAAAAGGTAATTTTAAGAATCTGACCCTAGTGCATGAGTTATAGCTCTCTACACCAAAATTGATGAAAAACATCTATGACAGGACTCATCAATGAGTCCCTGAAATAAAGAGAAAGAGAAAATAACCCAAACATTAGACCCAGGAACGTTATATTTCAATATTATCATATGAATTAAATGTAATCCTTGAAGCGACTAGTCCCTGGGGTCACATATTAGGCCTTCCCACCAACCCCCACCTCCTCCTCCTCCTCCTCTTTTTTTTTTTTTTTAAATAGAGGTCATCCAGGCTGAAAAGCAAAACCCAAATGAAAAGCATCTTCAGTGTGCTTATAACGTGAACGGCAAGGGGTCAGGCAGCGTCTTGTATGGCCTCATAAAAAATACATAACCAGGCAGCCTAATAGTATTTCTTTGCATTCATTTTTGGATGGAGAATAGGGGGTGGGGGTGGGGGAGGAGAAAGGGGCAATGTTGGTAGCTACGATGGAAAAAAAAAAATCAAAGACAGCACAGAAATTCACGTTTAAAAGGAGGATAGTTAGTTAATCTTTTTTCTTTTGTGAAAACGTATTAAGCACAACTCTCCAACGTGATTGATTTACACTGTTCTGTTGATTTACGCAATTCTAAAATGTGATGGATCTCAGTGTTTTAAGACAGAAAAAGGTATGTATGTGCATCTCTCTGAATTCTCTCCTATTCCTTTCGGCTGGTCCTGTTAATTGGAAGCTCAGCTATGCTGGGCCCTTCTCCCAGTTAAATGTTTTTAGTACAGTAAATACTCATTGAATACAGATTTATAAACTACTCTTATTTCAGATGGTTTCTAAAAATGAAACAATGGAGAAGAGAAACCATGGAGAGGGTTTCTGCTCTATCTCACCACAGATACACCAACAGGCAGCTAGGGAGACAGAGAGAAGGGAGAGACAGAGAAGAAGAATAACGCAATTGGACAACAAATAAAAATAAACAGCTGTAAATGCTGGGGAGATAAGAGAGGCTCTAAATATATTCCTTCCCCTCCCCCTCACTTCTTCCCTCCCAAATATAGCCCAGAGATGAGTGATCCTGCCGGGGAGATGGAGGCAGAGAGGTGACCCCGCGCTAACCAGCCTGTTAGAACTAATAAGGTGTCCTCCTAAGCCACTCCACTGACATTAGGGCAGCGTGGAGATCACTCTCTTTGTTATTGCCCATCCTCAGCTTGAAATTTACTACTCCTTTGCATTATTAAAGAGACAGCTCACATCCTCTACAGGGTGGAGAAGATTGGGTGAAGATAAATAACTCCGCATTATTTTTATTTAAATGTTATGTTTGTACTCAGTAGTTCAGATATTAAAAATCTACGATTTTACAACATAGCCACGTGAATAATCTGCCACTGGTGACTCCCACTGAGACGGTAAAGAAGCAAAGTAGGAAGTCTGTTTTCTTATTTTTATATTCTCTGTCCTCCTCACTGGGAGGGGGCGGGTGCCAAAGGGGAGGAAATATTTCTTTTAAAGGCACTTGATTTGGGTAGTAAGTTCAGCATGACGTTGTGTTGTTATTCATGACAGGGAGGCATCTTTAAAGTTTTTGTAAGTTCACTGTGATTCTGTAATCACATTTCCCACTTAGAACTCCATGGCTTTTCATCATGGCAAAGGAGCATATATGTTTACTTTTCTTACATAACATTTTTAAGGATGTCACTTAATGTTCTCATAATTGAGTTTGCTGGAAGAGTTTGCTATGGTCAAGTCTTAAAGCAATGAGCTATCTCACGTTCACTCCAACCCAGCTACCCCCAAAAGTGCGGAGACATTTGTCCCATGGTATGACCCAAGAACAAAAGTGTTTAATTAGGATTTCAAGCAAGATTCTTATAATAAATGGCTTCCTTCCATGACACACTGTCTATGCCAACATCAGAAATGTTTTCCAAAGAATGATCATTGTAATGACTCATCATGGAGAGTTAAACAATGGGTAAACCGGCAGAGAGAACACTCTATTAACTGCACACTTTGATGCTTTGAGTGTTGGTGTTGGGAAGTGCAGTTTTTATTGGATAAAGGTTCAAAAGTGGTCAAGATACTTCTCCAAATCTACATGAGATGTTCTACTCTACTACAGTGCACAGTGGTGGTATGACTCTATTGAGAATGAATGTGAATAGAAGAAACACACCCTGGCCAAAAGTCTAATCACTTGCTGGGGAGTTGTGTTCCTTAGAAACCTAAAATATTGCTTGGGAAATATCAACAACTTAGAACAGAGACCCAAGGTAAACTCCCATTTGGTAAAGACACATACTCTGATCAAAGTAAATTTCTAAATGTTTTCTCACCCCACATTTTCTCATAGGTTAGCATTGTTTCTTTGCTGAAGATGAGCAACTAAACATCAGTCCTCATGCAAAGAAAGCCTTCAACTCCTATTAATAGCGACAGATTGATTTAAAATAGTCTCTAAAAAGATGACAACATAGTCTTGAGTTGGATAATAACATAATCTGACAAATTTAATGATGGAGAGGAAAGACTGCAAGTCAATAAATAGATCCTGAATAAATGAACAGTCAACAATCAATCAACTGAAGAAACAGGACCACCCATTTCATCATCATGATTTGTAGGTAAACAATCAAGACCAAAGCAACCTGAGAAATGGACACATATCTTAAAGAATGAATTCTGTTGGACTGACCAGTGGAGATCACATTATAAAACAGACTCCATTTATTTTTTGTTTGTTTGTTTTTATTTGTTCTTTAGTTATACATGACAGTGGAATGTATTTTGACGTATCATACCTACATTGAGTATAAATTCCTATTCTTGTTGTTGTACTTGATATGGAGATACTCTGGTCATGCATTCATATACAAACATAAGAAAGTTATATCCAATTCACTCTACAGAATACATTACATTTAATCTATATTATTCTATATTGTTTTGGGGGAAAATCTGTGTGTCCTGAATGTCAACTACATTAGGGTATCCTCCAAATTCTACTATTACTTTGTAAAGTTATTCAGTCCAATAAATGGTTCATGAGTTCATTTGCACGGAATAGGTATTTGTTGTATTAAACTTATATACAAATAATTATAACTAGAGCATTGGGGTATTATAAAGGAAAATATGAATCAATACTTTCAAAAGAGACATTTAAGAAATACTGAGGTAGACCTCCTTCTGCTGAACAGAGCATGGGATCAACTCAATTAACTAATAAGTCTCCAGTTCAAAATTAGAACCAGATCACTGTTGAATCACATGCATTTGGGTAGCAAGATACTAGATGGCATGTTCAAAAC